ATTTTTTTCGAAGGCCACCAAAACTTGAGACAAATGGTAGGTTATTAAACTCTTTGAGTTAATACCTGAGAACTTTCTTCCAAACAACTTAAACAACTATTTACTAGTCTCCGAAATTCACTCATATATACTCGACAATCTAGATGAACTAGCATGTAGAGAACATGAAATCAGTTTATATATAAAAGTTTATTGTTTGATTTATTTTCAAAAGCGCAAGTTTGATTGTTTGGTGCTAAGTTTAAAATTGTTTAAGATTGTGCTTTTGTTTATACAGGTCGCATATGCATATGACGAAGGTTCGAGCACTATGAAGTTGCATTTAGGAGTGGGTGTTATCATGCTTAGGTTAAAGGTTTGGTTTTCATTTTAGTGAAGAAATGATAAGTTTGATTAATTGGCGGTGCATTTAAAATCATCTCAGATTGGCCTTGTTTGGTTTTCATTTTACAAACGGGCTAACGTTGAGAGAGTTTAAAATCAGTTTATGCAGAATTTTTTGGTTGGCGGCGTGGGTGATTGTCAGACTAAGTAAGTGTTGCGATTTTTAATTTTATTTTAGTAGTAATTGACATGAAAGCTTTTATTGCAAGTGTTAGTTTTTTTTTATATTCAGAGTTTAAGCTTGTTTGATGAAAAGTTATATCATCCCTGTAATTTATTGTTTTTAACTAAAATTTGTACAATCTTCTAAACAGATTTCATAAGGAAACTAGATATTCAGAATCCTAATGTTAATAGGGATAGTTTTTTCGAAGTGAGGTAGTATTACTAAAGCAGGAGGGTTATTCTATCGATAAAGTTAAAGGAATGAATAGTTTTTGTTAAACTACTTTTGTAATTAGTTGCAGGTTGAAGTCCTTATTCTTCTGTGTTGTATTGATTGTTGCTAGACCAACCAAAGTGTTATATATACTCCGATGTGTTACATGCTCTTTTTGAAAGCCCTAAACAGCACTGATCATACTTCGTTTCTTACAAATCATGAGTTTTTTCTAGTTAGGCTTGATGTCTACCTTTTTTAAAATATTACATTTAAAAGCAGTTGTGAAAGAATAATGGTAGTTATGCCTGGTCTCTACCAACTTTTTCCAAAGCCCATCAAATCTTAAGATAAATGGTACTTCATTGAATTTTTGAAGTTAGTATAAAGATCCCTAGAACCTCCTTCCAAACAACTTTACAACTCTTTCCTAGTCTCGGAATTTCACTCATATTTACTTAAAAATCGAGATGGCCAAGCATCTGGAGAATCAGAAATCAGATTTTATATAAAAATTTGTTAAGTTTATTGTCTAATTTATTTTCACTGCATAAAATTGATTGCTTTGCGGTGTGTTTTGAATTAATTTCGGATTATGTTTGGGTTTATATAGGTCGCAGAAGCGTACGATGAAGCTCCGAGCATTGTTAAATTGGATTTAGGAGTGGGCATTATCGAGCTAAGTTTGATTATTTGGCAGTGTGTTTAAACTCATCTCGGATTGGCTTAGTTTGGTTTTAATTGTTTCAAACTGGGAGCTCTTTTACTTTTAAGCTGAAGACTCCTAAACAACACTGATTATACTTCGTTTCTTGTGAATCTTGAGTTTCTTTTCAGTTAAGTTATATTATGCCTACCTTTTTTAAATTTTTCATTTAAAAGCAGTAAAGAAAGAATAATAATTTAAAACTAATTTCTTAACTCATACTTTTGGGAGGGCAGTTGTATATTTTTTGCGAAGGCAATCCAAACTTGAGACAAATGGTAGTTGATTAAACTCTTTGTGTTAATACCTGAGAACTTTCTTCCGAACAACTTAAACAACTATTTACTAGTCTGCGAAATTCACTCATATATACTCGACATTCTAGATGGGCTAGCGTGTAGAGAACATGAAATCAGTTTATATATAAAAGTTTGTAAAGTTTATTGTTTGATTTATTTTCACAGCACAAGTTTGATTGTTTGGTGCTAAGTTGAAAATTGTTTAAGATTGTGCTTTTGTTTATACAGGTCGCATATGCATATGACGAAGGTTCGAGCACTATGAAGTTGCATTTAGGAGTGGGTGTTATCATGCTTAGGTTAGTGTTGTGGTTTTCATTTTAGTGAAGAAATGATAAGTTTGATAAATTGGCGGTGCGTTTAAAATCATCTCAGATTGGCCTTGTTTTGTTTTCATTCTACGACAGGCTAACGTTGAGAGAGTTTTAAATCAGTTTATACACAATTTTTTTCAGTACTGTTTGATTTATTTTCCAGTCATGTTTTTAAACAAACCAGTTCGGGGTTTGTTTGGCTTTACACACTGGTCACACACAAGAAGCGTAGCATAAAGCTACGAGGAAATTGAAGTTGGTTTTCGGCGTGGGTGATTGTCAGACTGAGTAAGTGTTGCGATTTTTATTTTTACTTTAGTAGTAATTGACATGAAAGCCTTTATTGCAAGTGTTAGTTTTTTTTATATCTTGAGTTTAAGCTTGTTTGATGAAAAGTTATATCATCCCTGTAATTTATTGTTTTTAACTAAAATTTGTACATTATTCTAAACAGAATTCATAAGAAAACTAGATATTCAGAATCCTAAAGTTAACAAGGATAGTTTTTTCGAAGTGAGGTAGTATTACTACAATCTGGAGGGTTATTCTATCGATAAAGTTAAAGGAATGAATAGTTTTTGTTAAACTACTTTTGTAATTAGTTGCAGGTTGAAGTCCTTATTCTTCTGTGTTGTATTGTTTGTTGCTGGACCAACCAAAGTGTTATATATACTCCGATGTGTTACATGATCTTTTTGAATTTCCCAAACAGCACTGATCATACTTCGTTTCTTACAAATCATGAGTTTTTTCTAGTTAGGCTTGATGTCTACCTTTTTTAAAATTTTACATTTAAAAGCAGTTGTGAAAGAATAATGGTAGTTATGTCTGGTCTCTACCAACTTTTTCCAAAGCCCATCAAATCTTATGATAACTGGTAGTTAATTGATTTCTTGAAGTTAGTATAAAGATCCTGAGAACCTCCTTCCAAACAACTTTACAACTCTTTCATAGTCTCGGAATTTCACTCATATTTACTCAAAAATCTAGATGGCAAGCATCGGTAGGATCAGAAATCAGATTTTATATAAAAAAATTGTTAAGTTTATTGTCTAATTTATTTTCACTACGTAAGTTTGATTGCTTTGCGGTGTGTTTTAAATTAATTTCGGATTGTGTTTGGGTTTATATAGGTCGCAGACGCGTACGATGAAGCTCCGAGCATTGTTAAACTGGATTTAGAAGTGGGCATTATCGAGCTAAGTTTGATTATTAGGCAGTGTGATTAAACTCATCTTGGATTGGCTTAGTTTGGTTTTAATTGTTTGAAACTGGGAGCTCTTTTACGTTTAAACTGAAAACTCCTGAACAACACTGATTATACATCGTTTCTTGTGAATTGTGAGTTTCTTTTCAGTTAAGCTATATTATGCCTACCTTTTTTTAATTTTACATTTAAAAGCAGTGAAGAAAGAACAGTAATTTGAAACTAATTTCTTAACTCATACTTTTGGGAGGGCAGTTTTATATTTTTGCGAAGGCCACCAAAACTTGAGACAAATGGTAGTTGATTAAACTCTTTGAGTTAATACCTGAGAACTTTCTTCCGAACAACTTAAACAACTATTTACTAGTCTCCGAAATTCACTCATATATACTCGACAATCTAGACGAACTAGCATGTAGAGAACATGAAATCAGTTTATATATAAAAGTTTGTAAAGTTTATTGTTTGATTTATTTTCACATCGCAAGTTTGATTGTTTGGTGCTAAGTTTAAAATTGTTTAAGATTGTGCTTTTGTTTATACAGGTCGCATATGCATATGACGAAGGTTCAAGCACTATGAAGTTGCATTTAGGAGTGGGTGTTATCATGCTTAGGTTAAAGTTGTGGTTTTCATTTTAGTGAAGAAATGATAAGTTTGATTAAATGGCGGTGCGTTTAAAATCATCTCAGATTGGCCTTGTTTGGTTTTCATTTTACGAACGGGCTAACGTTGAGAGAGTTTAAAATCAGTTTATACACAATTTTTTTAAGTATATTGTTTGATTTATTTTCCCTGTTAAGTTTTTTAAAAAACCAGTTCGGGGTTTGTTTGGCTTTACACACTGGTCACACACAAGAAGCGTACCATCAAGCTTCGAGGAAGTTGAAGCTGGTTGGCGGCGTGGGTGATTGTCAGACTAAGTAAGTGTTGCGATTTTTAATTTTATTTTAGTAGTAATTGACATGAAAGCTTTTATTGCAAGTGTTAGTTTTTTTTTATATTCTGAGTTTAAGCTTGTTTGATGAAAAGTTATATCATCCCTGTAATTTATTGGTTTTAACTAAAATTTGTACATTATTCTAAACAGAATTCATAAGGAAACTAGATATTCAGAATCCTAAAGTTAATAGGGATAGTTTTTTCGAAGTGAGGTAGTATGACTACAGGCAGGAGGGTTATTCTGTCGATAAAGTTAAAGGAATGAATAGTTTTTGTTAAACTACTTTTGTAATTAGTTGCAGGTTGAAGTCCTTATTCTTCTGTGTTGTATTGTTTGTTGCTAGACCAACCAAAGTGTTAAATATACTCTGATGTGTTACATGCTCTTTTTGAAAGCCCTAAACAGCACTGATCATACTTCGTTTCTTACAAATCATGAGTTTTTTTAGTTAGGCTCGATGTCTACCTTTTTTAAAATATTACATTTAAAAGCAGATGTGAAAGAATAAATGGTACTTCATTGAATTTTTGAAGTTAGTATAAAGATCCCTAGAACCTCCTTCCAAACAACTTTACAACTCTTTCCTAGTCTCGGAATTTCACTCATATTTACTAAAAAAATCTAGATGGCCAAGCCTCTGGAGAATCAGAAATCAGATTTTATATGAATATTTGTTAAGTTTATTGTCTAATTTATTTTCACTGTGTAAAATTGATAGCTTTGCGGTGTGTTTTGAATTAATTTCGGATTATGTTTGGGTTTATATAGGTCGCAGAAGCGTACGATGAAGCTTCGAGCATTGTTAAATTGGATTTAGGAGTGGGCATTATCGAGCGAAGTTTGATTATTTGGCAGTGTGTTTAAACTCATCTCGGATTGGCTTAGTTTGGTTTTAATTGTTTCAAACTGGGAGCTCTTTTATTTTTAAGCTGAAAACTCCTATAAACAACACTGATCGTACTTCGTTTCTTCTGAATCGTGAGTTTCTTTTCAGTTAAGCTATATTATGCCTACCTTATTTAAATTTGACATTTAAAACCAGTGAGGAAAGAATAATAATTTAAAACTAATTTCTTAACTCATTCTTTTGGGAGGGCAGTTGTATATTTTTTTCGAAGGCCACCAAAACTTGAGACAAATGGTAGTTGATTAAACTCTTTGAGTTAATACCTGAGAACTTTCTTCCAAACAACTTAAACAACTATTTACTAGTCTCCGAAATTCACTCATATATACTCGACAATCTAGATGAACTAGCATGTAGAGAACATGAAATCAGTTTATATATAAAAGTTTGTAAAGTTTATTGTTTGATTTATTTTCAAAGCGCAAGTTTGATTGTTTGGTGCTAAGTTTAAAATTGTTTAAGATTGTGCTTTTGTTTATACAGGTCGCATATGCATATGACGAAGGTTCGAGCACTATGAAGTTGCATTTAGGAGTGGGTGTTATCATGCTTAGGTTAAAGTTGTGGTTTTCATTTTAGTGAAGAAATGATAAGTTAGATTAATTGGCGGTGCGTTTTTGTTAAAGCACTATGAGGTAGTATCTATGTTGCACGGAAACGTGAAAATCATAAGGAAACGGGAAACGGGAAACGTCAACTTTTGCTCAAAAAACGCTTATTTGGAGAGTTTCCAAAGAGTTTCCGAAATGGGAAACGTACTCTTTCCCAAGAGTTTCCATGCTACATAGGGTAGTATTACTACAAGCAGCAGGGTTATTCTATCGATAAAGTTAAAGGAATGAATAGTTTTTGTTAAATTACTTTTGTAAATAGTTGCAAGTTGAAGTCCTTATTCTTCTGTGTTGTATTGTTTGTTGCTAGACCAACCAAAGGGTTATATATACTCCGATGTGTTATATGCTCTTTTTGAAACTCCCAAACAGCACCGATCATACTTCGTTTCTTACAAATCATGAGTTTTTTCTAGTTGGGCTTGATGTCTACCTTTTCTAAAATTTTACATTTAAAAGCAGTTGTGAAAGAATAATGGTAGTTATGCCTGGTCTCTACCAACTTTTTCCAAAGCCCATACAATCTTAAGATAACTGGTAGTTAATTGAATTCTTGAAGGTAGTATAAAGATCCCGAGAAGATTCTTCCAAACAACTTTACAACTCTTTCGTAGTCTCGGAATTTCACTCATATTTACTCAAAAATCTAGATGGCCAAGCATCTGGAGGATCAGAAATCAGATTTTATATAAAAATTTGTTAAGTTTATTGTCTAATTTATTTTCACTGCGTAAGTTTGATTGCTTTGCGGTGTGTTTCAAATTAATTTCGGGTTGTGTTTGGGTTTATATAGGTCGCAGACGCGTACGATGAAGCTCTGAGCATTGTTAAACTGTATTTAGAAGTGGGCATTATTGAGCTAAGTTTGATGATTTGGCAGTGTGATTAAACTCATCTCGGATTGGCTTAGTTTGGTTTTAATTGTTTCAAACTGGGAGCTCTTTTACTTTTAAGCTGAAAACTCCTAAACAACACTGATTATACTTCATTGGCTCCCATAAAATTTTACATTTAAAAGCAGTTGTGAAAGAATAATAGTAGTTGTGCCTGGTCTCTACCAACTTTTTCCAAAGCCCATCAAATCTTAAGATAACCGGTAGTTAATTGATTTCTTGAAGTTAGTATAAAGATCCTGAGAACCTCCTTCCAAACAACTTTACAACTCTTTCGTAGTCTCGGAATTTCACTCATATTTACTCAAAAATCTAGATGGCAAGCATTGGTAGGATCAGAAATCAGATTTTATATAAAGAATTTGTTAAGTTTATTGTCTAATTTATTTTCACTACGTAAGTTTGATTGCTTTGCGGTGTGTTTTAAATTAATTTCGGATTGTGTTTGGGTTTATATAGGTCGCAGACGCGTACGATGAAGCTCCGAGCATTGTTAAACAGGATTTAGAAGTGGGCATTATCGAGCTAAGTTTGATTATTAGGCAGTGTGATTAAACTCATCTCGGATTGGCTTAGTTTGGTTTTAATTGTTTGAAACTGGGAGCTCTTTTACTTTTAAACTGAAAACTCCTGAACAACACTGATTATACTTCGTTTCTTGTGAATCGTGAGTTTCTTTTCAGTTAAGCTATATTATGCCTACCTTTTTTAATTTTACATTTAAAAGCAGTGAAGGAAGAACAGTAATTTGAAACTAATTTCTTAACTCATACTTTTGGGAGGGCAGTTTTATATTTTTGCGAAGGCCACCAAAACTTGAGACAAATGGTAGTTGATTAAACTCTTTGAGTTAATACCTGAGAACTTTCTTCCGAACAACTTAAACAACTATTTACTAGTCTCCGAAATTCACTCATATATACTCGACAATCTAGACGAACTAGCATGTAGAGAACATGAAATCAGTTTATATATAAAAGTTTGTAAAGTTTATTGTTTGATTTATTTTCACAGCGCAAGTTTGATTGTTTGGTGCTAATTTAAAATTGTTTAAGATTGTGCTTTTGTTTATACAGGTCGCATATGCATATGACGAAGGTTCAAGCACTATGAAGTTGCATTTAGGAGTGGGTGTTATCATGCTTAGGTTAAAGTTGTGGTTTTCATTTTAGTGAAGAAATGATAAGTTTGATTAAATGGCGGTGCGTTTAAAATCATCTCAGATTGGCCTTGTTTGGTTTTCATTTTACGAACGGGCTAACGTTGAGAGAGTTTAAAATCAGTTTATACACAATTTTTTTAAGTATACTGTTTGATTTATTTTCCCTGTTAAGTTTTTTAAAAAACCAGTTCGGGGTTTGTTTGGCTTTACACACTGGTCACACACAAGAAGCGTAGCATCAAGCTTCGAGGAAATTGAAGCGGGTTGGCGGCGTGGGTGATTGTCAGACTAAGTAAGTGTTGCGATTTTTAATTTTATTTTAGTAGTAATTGACATGAAAGCTTTTATTGCAAGTGTTAGTTTTTTTTATATTCTGAGTTTAAGCTTGTTTGATGAAAAGTTATATCATCCCTGTAATTTATTGTTTTTAACTAAAATTTGTACATTATTCTAAACAGAATTCATAAGGAAACTAGATATTCAGAATCCTAAAGTTAATAGGGATAGTTTTTTCGAAGTGAGGTAGTATTACTACAGACAGGAGGGTTATTCTGTCGATAAAGTTAAAGGAATGAATAGTTTTTGTTAAACTACTTTTGTAATTAGTTGCAGGTTGAAGTCCTTATTCTTCTGTGTTGTATTGTTTGTTGCTAGACCAACCAAAGTGTTATATATACTCCGATGTGTTACATGCTCTTTTTGAAAGCCCTAAACAGCACTGATCATACTTCGTTTCTTACAAATCATGAGTTTTTTTAGTTAGGCTCGATGTCTACCTTTTTTAAAATATTACATTTAAAAGCAGATGTGAAAGAATAAATGGTACTTCATTGAATTTTTGAAGTTAGTATAAAGATCCCTAGAACCTCCTTCCAAACAACTTTACAACTCTTTCCTAGTCTCGGAATTTCACTCATATTTACTAAAAAATCTAGATGGCCAAGCCTCTGGAGAATCAGAAATCAGATTTTATATAAAAATTTGTTAAGTTTATTGTCTAATTTATTTTCACTGCGTAAAATTGATTGCTTTGCGGTGTGTTTTGAATTAATTTCGGATTATGTTTGGGTTTATATAGGTCGCAGAAGCGTACGATGAAGCTCCGAGCATTGTTAATTTGGATTTAGGAGTGGGCATTATCGAGCTAAGTTTGATTATTTGGCAGTGTGTTTAAACTCATCTCGGATTGGCTTAGTTTGGTTTTAATTGTTTCAAACTGGGAGCTCTTTTACTTTTAAGCTGAAAACTCCTATAAACAACACTGATCGTACTTCGTTTCTTCTGAATCGTGAGTTTCTTTTCAGTTAAGCTATATTATGCCTACCTTATTTAAATTTTACATTTAAAACCAGTGAGGAAAGAATAATAATTTAAAACTATTTTCTTAACTCATTCTTTTGGGAGGGCAGTTGTATATTTTTTTCGAAGGCCACCAAAACTTGAGACAAATGGTAGTTGATTAAACTCTTTGAGTTAATACCTGAGAACTTTCTTCCAAACAACTTAAACAACTATTTACTAGTCTCCGAAATTCACTCATATATACTCGACAATCTAGATGAACTAGCATGTAGAGAACATGAAATCAGTTTATATATAAAAGTTTGTAAAGTTTATTGTTTGATTTATTTAACAGCGCAAGTTTGATTGTTTGGTGCTAAGTTTAAAATTGTTTAAGATTGTGCTTTTGTTTATACAGGTCGCATATGCATATGACCAAGGTTCGAGCACTATGAAGTTGCATTTAGGAGTGGGTGTTATCATGCTTAGGTTAAAGTTGTGGTTTTCATTTTAGTGAAGAAATGATAAGTTTGATTAATTGGCGGTGTGTTTTTGTTAAAGCACTATGAGGTAGTATTACTACAAGCAGCAGGGTTATTCTATCGATAAAGTTAAAGAAATGAATAGTTTTTGTTAAATTACTTTTGTAAATAGTTGCAAGTTGAAGTCCTTATTCTTCTGTGTTGTATTGTTTGTTGGTAGACCAACCAAAGGGTTATATATACTCCGATGTGTTATATGCTCTTTTTGAAACTCCCAAACAGCACTGATCATACTTCGTTTCTTACAAATCATGGGTTTTTTCTAGTTGGGCTTGATGTCTACCTTTTCTAAAATTTTACATTTAAAAGCAGTTGTGAAAGAATAATGGTAGTTATGCCTGGTCTCTACCAACTTTTTCCAAAGCCCATACAATCTTAAGATAACTGGTAGTTAATTGAATTCTTGAAGGTAGTATAAAGATCCCGAGAAGATTCTTCCAAACCACTTTACAACTCTTTCGTAGTCTTGGAATTTCACTCATATTTACTCAAAAATATAGATGGCCAAGCATCTGGAGGATCAGAAATCAGATTTTGTATAAAAATTTGTTAAGTTTATTGTCTAATTTATTTTCACTGCGTAAGTTTGATTGCTTTGCGGTGTGTTTCAAATTAATTTCGGGTTGTGTTTGGGTTTATATAGGTCGCAGACGCGTACGATGAAGCTCTGAGCATTGTTAAACTGTATTTAGAAGTGGGCATTATTGAGCTAAGTTTGATGATTTGGCAGTGTGATTAAACTCATCTCGGATTGGCTTAGTTTGGTTTTAATTGTTTCAAACTGGGAGCTCTTTTACTTTTAAGCTGAAAACTCCTAAACAACACTGATTATACTTCGTTGGCTCCCATAAAATTTTACATTTAAAAGCAGTTGTGAAAGAATAATAGTAGTTGTGCCTGGTCTCTACCAACTTTTTCCAAAGCCCATCAAATCTTAAGATAACTGGTAGTTAATTGATTTCTTGAAGTTAGTATAAAGATCCTGAGAACCTCCTTCCAAACAACTTTACAACTCTTTCGTAGTCTCGGAATTTCACTCATATTTACTCAAAAATCTAGATGGCAAGCATCGGTAGGATCAGAAATCAGATTTTATATAAAGAATTTGTTAAGTTTATTGTCTAATTTATTTTCACTACGTAATTTTGATTGCTTTGCGGTGTGTTTTAAATTAATTTCGGATTGTGTTTGGGTTTATATAGGTCGCAGACGCGTACGATGAAGCTCCGAGCATTGTTAAACAGGATTTAGAAGTGGGCATTATCGAGCTAAGTTTGATTATTAGGCAGTGTGATTAAACTCATCTCGGATTGGCTTAGTTTGGCTTTAATTGTTTGAAACTGGGAGCTCTTTTACTTTTAAACTGAAAACTCCTGAACAACACTGATTATACTTCGTTTCTTGTGAATCGTGAGTTTCTTTTCAGTTAAGCTATATTA